AGTCACCGGTGCTGAGAGCGCAAACGCGTTTGCATGACACACGTGTCGCCGCTGAGGAGCTGCCAAAATGGCTGTAAATGATCTAGAGTTTGTTTGCTCAGAGTTGGGTTGTTTAACAGTGTGATTGTCAGTACTATAACGTCTGGAATAAAAGTTTTCTCGCTTTAGTTCATTATTGGTGCGCTAAAGGATTCGAGCGTCTGTTAGGGGAGTTTGAGGGCTCGCACACGCCCTCTTCGCTATTTTTAATCATGGGAGTCTGGTGCTAAAAACAGAAACCTTATCTTGCACTTCTTAAAGTCATACACATGTATGACTTTACAAGTCGTACACCTTTAACAATAATACACTTTTTCACTTCATTCTGAAGATGAATAAACTCCTAGAGGAAAATATAATAAACCGGACTACTGGTCTAACTGGTCTCAGCCTAACCGTGTGCAGTTTAGGTGTTCTCAAGCAGATCTTCCATCCTTACCCGTTTAAATAAACTACACCTAGACTGGAGACAAAACAGCTGTTCTTTTCTCAGCAGAAATGTGTAACCAAATCCCCCAGCCACGATGAAAGAAAGAAAATTAGCTAATAAAACAACTCATATAATCTGACTTGCCAAAATCTCGTTTTTTCATCTTTATCATACAAGTAGCCAATAGTTTTGTATGGCTGCAGTTGCTGGTGCATGTTGACATCCAGTGGTAAAAATGTCAACTTAATCATAATACGATGGAAGTTTATTGCTTCGGTAAGAAAAATAAAAACGCTGTAGATGTTGCTTTAAAAAAATCACCTGTTAAGAATCACCTCTGTTTAACAATATTGCCGTAAGTGTTTGTGGGCTGCCTGCCAGCCATTGATGAGTAAAACGAATCAGCTGTGCACGGGTGATTGTGATTTTAAAGCTCACAGTTCGGCTGGTGTTTAGTAGATGCTTTGCGACCTGTGGGTGAAAAACATGAGTACGTTCTTTTTGTTATTGCACGTTTTCTGTGTTTGGTTTGGCTTGGCTTATTTCGTTAAGTCTTCGGTTAATTGTCTTTTTCAGCCACAAAGACAGTGTTGCTCGTGTACGCGCACCAGAGCGCTGGGTCTTTCAATGCGGCTGTTAAGACTGCTGCTGTGGACGAGCTGAAGAAACAGGGCTGCCGCGTGCTTGTGTCTGACCTGTATGAAGTGAAATTCAAGGCCACGGCAACAGAGGATGATATTACTGGTGTGGGAGGCAGGGTTTCGTTTGTTATAATAGTGAACTAAGAGCTAGTCCCTTATCGGAGCTCAGTGGGAGTTATTGCACTAATTTGTTTCTCAGGAGCGGTGAAGAACCCGGAGCATTTCTGTTATGGAAATGAGACCATGTTGGCCTGGCAGGAGGCGCGACTAGCTTCTGATATTGTAGATGAGCACAAGAAACTAAAAGAAGCAGATCTTGTTATTTTTCAGGTATGCCATTTCTTTTTGCAAATGTGTTTGTATGTCCCTCCCCCTGGTCCTCGTAAGTCTTTGACCATTTTTATTGTCAATTTCTTGAAGTTTCCCATGTATTGGTTCTCTGTTCCTGCCATCATGAAAGGCTGGATGGACCGGGTTCTTACGCTTGGTTTTGCATACACCTTGGAAAAGCGCTACAGTGAGGGCATCTTCAGAGTGAGGCCTTCCCATCATAAACCTCAGACTTGCATTAATCACGAAAGATTATCAAGTGTCTTTAATGAAATTACAGTGGGCTGTTAGTATTGGAATAATTGGTGTTTCATTTCATGTCAGGATAAGAAAGCCATGTTATCCTTCACCACTGGTTCCCATGAGACCATGTTCAGCTCCAATGGGATCAACGGAGACATGAATGTTACTCTGTGGCCAATTCAAGTAAGAATATTGTGTTAATTTTTCTTCTGGTTCCTAGACCCTTTATCCCTTTGAAGCTCTCACTCTGTAGGGTAAACCCTTTGAAGGGATTCGGGCATGGGGATGAACCCTGGAACGCAGCGTTAATTGAGTGTGTGCTTGTCATACAAACCTGAGACTCCTGCACTATTTCCTCTTTTTGTAGAATGGGGTCCTCAACTATTGTGGCTTCCAGGTCCTTGCTCCACAGATCTTCTGGGCACCCACACATCTCTCTCCTGAGGCTCCCGCGGGCCCGCTGGGAGGGCGGCGGCCTCCGCCTTCAAACGAGGCGCCTCTCGCCTTCCCACCTGCAGACATCTTTGACAAGGGGAAAGGCTTTCAACTGAAGCCTGAAGTCCGGGAGAAGCAGGCTGATTCCCCTTTTGGTCTCACTGTGGGTCACCACCTGGAGAAACCGCTGCCACCCCAAAGCCAGATGAAAGCTGGGGTGTGACACCTGCTGCAGCGCTGTCCCCATGTGGCCATGTCCTTGTTTAACAGTCTCAAAGCTGAATTTTTGACATGAATAAATTTGTTCATGTTTTGAATGAGTCTTGGAATTCCTTTTTAGTTGTATAACCCCACAATTGCTCCTGTCTTTAAAAAAAAAAGGAAAGTTTGTTTGTTACTCACATGTTGTTCCAAACCCATAAGACAGTTTCATCTTCAAAACACTAAGATATTTTGTATGAAACCTGAGTTTAGATATTCAAAAGGTTGTAAGGGCATTGTTAAACTAATCCATAAGAATTGAGTAAAGAGACACTGTCTTTTATATGACGAGCATAATTAATTTAGGCTTTTAGACATCTAAACACGCATACATGGAGCAAATCACATAAGGTAAACGCGGAAGCTTGTGTATGTCAATGAGGTTTGAGTTAGTATGTGACGTGCACTCATTCTATGTTTGATGTATGTGCTTTATATGCGAGTAGAAACCTAAAATAAGTCTCAAAGCGTTTTTATCTCTTCAAAAGTCTTTAACTGTTCAATTCATAGGGATTGCATTTCTAACCTTTTTGGATGTTTTCAGTTTTGGTTACCTGGACTAATTAGGAGTCATTAAAAATATATGAATTTGTGTTTTGAAGATTAACCAAAGTCTTGCGTGTTTGGAACAAAATGAAGGTGAGTAAATGATGGTTAATTTTTTTTGGTGAGCTATTCTGAGTGAGTCGGTTGGAAACCAAAAGTTAATTTTGTGCTCCTTAGTCAAAGATTTCGCTACTCCATTTTGTTGCTCCTTCAGTGGTCTCCCCTAGGGGCTTTTATCCAAGCAATTCTAAGGCCCCAAATATCAAGAACAAATGTGTTTGCTCTGTTTCAGAACGAGCAGCACCTTAATATGGCACGTTTATTCAAAGGGTATTTGTCCCAGCTGTACACTGATTTCCCATTTCCTGTGGAAATTCCTCAGAGGCATGTCCTTTTCTGCAACAAAACTCTTCAGCAGATGTCTGCAGATAATGCTTTGAAATCCTGCTGTGTTTTTAATGCTGTATTAATCTAAAACAGATCCTACATTTTAATCAAGTGTAATCTGGAAACAGGTAGCCATGCAATCTCAGAAACTTTGAATATATTACTTTTACTTTTTTTTTTTTTAAATAGTTTTCTTGCTTCCAGCTAGAGTGTGAAGAAAAAAAACATAAAAAATGTAGCTTATCTGATCAGACTTTTTAAACAAAATTGAATTTAAAATGCGAAATAGAGATGATTTGTTTGAGATAATAGAATACTACTAACAGAATCAAATGTGCAAGATAATAGAATCATCAGTGTAGCATATTACCAATGTAATTTTTTATCGTTACATGTAGTGTGTTTTCTATTTCACATACTATTATTAAAAACTATTATGTGCAGGAAGCAGTTGAGTATTCCTTTACAAACATTCCCTATTAAACAGAGAAACTGCTCAGGCCTGCATAGTGACCTCTTGTGGTGACATTGAGGCTATGCTAAAATATCCCAGGTTCAAGGTGTGGCTGGTTAGCATGGTCTGGTTAGCTGCACTTTCAAAAGCAATGCAAATCGCAGTTTGATTGCTAAGGTTTTTTTGTTGTTGTTGAGGTCCATTTCTGGTTGATATGCACCATACAAGACCAGTGTTAATAGTAACTAAAACTGTTAAAATAGTTTGTATTAGCTGAAATGAAGATAAAATAAATTTTACACATTAGATGAAAACAATTAAAATGGTGACTGGAAACTAACTTGAAATACGTTAAAGTTGAGGTACTAAAATTACTGAAACTGTAAAAAAATAAAGCTAATTAGAAATATCTAACAAAAAACTACTAAAATATCGCTAAAATAGCTTTATAATAATCCTGGCATTGTATATTATGAATATTATTTGCTCTCTGATGAATTGCTTTGTTCCTCTATTGTAGGGTGCTTTGGATAAAAGCTTCTGCTAAATGCAGAAATGTAAATGCATAAACGTAATCATCCACTTTAGGACCGAGTATTAGTTTTGAGTAGATTATAAAGTAGTGTCTGTCCAACACACATGAAACCTTATCTTGCACTTCTTAAAGTCATACACATGTATGACTTTACAAGTCGTACACCTTTAACAATAATAAACTTTTACACTTCATTCTGAAGATGAATAAACTCCTAGAGGAAAATATAATAAACCGGACTACTGGTCTAACTGGTCTCAGCCTAACCGTGTGCAGTTTAGGTGTTCTCAAGCAGATCTTCCATCCTTACCCGTTTAAATAAACTACACCTAGACTGGAGACAAAACAGCTGTTCTTTTCTCAGCAGAAATGTGTAACCAAATACCCCAGCCACGATGAAAGAAAGAAAGAAAGAAAATTAGTTAATAAAACAACTCATATAATCTGACTTGCCAAAATCTCGTTTTTTCATCTTTATCATACAGGTAGCCAATAGTTTTGTATGGCTGCAGTTGCTGGTGCATGTTGACATCCAGTGGTAAAAATGTCAACTTAATCATAATACGATGGAAGTTTATTGCTTCGGTAAGAAAAATAAAAACGCTGTAGATGTTGCTTTAAAAAAATCACCTGTTAAGAATCACCTCTGTTTAACAATATTGCCGTAAGTGTTTGTGGGCTGCCTGCCAGCCATTGATGAGTAAAACGAATCAGCTGTGCACGGGTGATTGTGATTTTAAAGCTCACAGTTCGGCTGGTGTTTAGTAGATGCTTTGCGACCTGTGGGTGAAAAACATGAGTACGTTCTTTTTGTTATTGCACTTTTTCTGTGTTTGGTTTGGCTTGGCTTATTTCGTTAAGTCTTCGGTTAATTGTCTTTTTCAGCCACAAAGACAGTGTTGCTCGTGTACGCGCACCAGAGCGCTGGGTCTTTCAATGCGGCTGTTAAGACTGCTGCTGTGGACGAGCTGAAGAAACAGGGCTGCCGCGTGCTTGTGTCTGACCTGTATGAAGTGAAATTCAAGGCCACGGCAACAGAGGATGATATTACTGGTGTGGGAGGCAGGGTTTCGTTTGTTATAATAGTGAACTAAGAACTAGTCCCTTATCGGAGCTCAGTGGGAGTTATTGCACATTTGTTTCTCAGGAGCGGTGAAGAACCCTGAGCATTTCTGTTATGGAAATGAGACCATGTTGGCCTGGCAGGAGGAGCGACTAGCTTCTGATATTGTAGATGAGCACAAGAAACTAAAAGAAGCAGATCTTGTTATTTTTCAGGTATGCCATTTCTTTTTGCAAATGTCTTTTGTATGTCCCTCCCCCTGGTCCTCGTAAGTCTTTGACCATTTTTATTGTCAATTTCTTGAAGTTTCCCATGTATTGGTTCTCTGTTCCTGCCATCATGAAAGGCTGGATGGACCGGGTTCTTACGCTTGGTTTTGCATACACCTTGGAAAAGCGCTACAGTGAGGGCATCTTCAGAGTGAGGCCTTCCCATCATAAACCTCAGACTTGCATTAATCACGAAAGATTATCAAGTGTCTTTAATGAAATTACAGTGGGCTGTTAGTATTGGAATAATTGGTGTTTCATTTCATGTCAGGATAAGAAAGCCATGTTATCCTTCACCACTGGTTCCCATGAGACCATGTTCAGCTCCAATGGGATCAACGGAGACATGAATGTTACTCTGTGGCCAATTCAAGTAAGAATATAGTATATATATAAAAAAATTTCTGGTCCCTAGACCTTTTATTCCTTTGAAGCTCTCACTCTGTAGGGTAAACCCTTTGAAGGGATTCGGGCATGGGGATGAACCCTGGAACGCCGCGTTAATTGAGTGTGTGCTTGTCATACAAACCTGAGACTCCTGCACTGATATTTCCTCTTTTTGTAGAATGGGGTCCTCAACTATTGTGGCTTCCAGGTCCTTGCTCCACAGATCTTCTGGGCACCCACACATCTCTCTCCTGAGGCTCGCGAAGGCCTGTTGGAAGGCTGGCGCACTCGTCTTCAAGGTCTCCTAAACGAGGCACCTCTCGCCTTCCCACCTGCAGACATCTTTGACAAGGGGAAAGGCTTTCAACTGAAGCCTGAAGTCCGGGAGAAGCAGGCTGATTCCCCTTTTGGTCTCACTGTGGGTCACCACCTGGAGAAACCGCTGCCACCCCAAAGCCAGATGAAAGCTGGGGTGTGACACCTGCTGCAGCGCTGTCCCCATGTGGCCATGTCCTTGTTTAACAGTCTCAAAGCTGAGTTTTTGACATGAATAAATTGTTCATGTTTTGAATGAGTCTTGGAATTCCTTTTTAGTTGTATAACCCCACAATTGCTCCTGTCTTTATAAAAAAAAAAAAAAGTGCACCCAAAAAGGAAAGTTGTCGCGTTACCCACATGTTCCAAACCCATAATACGGTTTCATCTTCAAAACACTAAAATATTTTGACTGAAACCTGAGTTTAGATATTCAAAAGGTTGTAAGGGCATTGTTAAACTAATCCATAAGAATTGAGTAAAGAGATACTGTATTTTATATGACGAGCTGAATTAATTTAGGCTTTTATACATCTAAACCTCGAGCAAATCACATAAGGTAAATGCGGAAGCTTGTGTATGTCAATGAGGTTTGATTTAGTATTTGATGTGCACTCATTCTATGTTTGATGTATGTGTTTATATGCGAGTAGAAACTTAAATTAAATTTTAAAGCATTTATCTTTTCAAAAGAACCATTCTTTAACCATTCAATTCATATGGATTGCCTTTCTAACCTTTTTGGATGTTTAGGTTACCTGGACTAATTAGAAGTCATTAAAAATATATGAATTTGTGTTTTGAAGATTAACAAGTCTTATGCGTTTGGAACAAAATGAGGGTGAGTAAATGAGTTATATCCTTTTTTTTTTTTTTTTGGTGAACTATCCCTTAAGAGTTGGTTAGAAACCAAAAGTAAATTTTGTGCTCCTTAGTAAAGGAATTCGCTACTCTATTTAGTTGCTCCTTCAGTGGTCTCCCCTAGGGGTTTTTATCCAAGCAATTCTAAGGCCCCAAATATCAAGAACAAATGTGTTTGCTCTGTTTCAGAACGAGCAGCACCTTAATATGGCACGTTTATTCAAAGGGTATTTGTCCCAGCTGTACACTGATTTCCCATTTCCTGTGGAAATTCCTCAGAGGCATGTCCTTTTCTGCAACAAAACTCTTCAGCAGATGTCTGCAGATAATGCTTTGAAATCCTGCTGTGTTTTTAATGCTGTATTAATCTAAAACAGATCCTACATTTTAATCAAGAGTAATATGGAAACAGGTAGCCATGCAATCTCAGAAACTTTGAATATATTTTACTTTTTAAAAAAATAATTCGTTTTCGTGAAGAAAAAAACATGAAAAATGTAGCTTATCTGATAAGACATTTTAAACAAAATTGAATTCAAAATGCGAAATGGAGATGATTTGTTTGAGATAATAGAATACTACTAACAGAATCAAATGTGCAAGATAATAGAATCATCAGTGTAGCATATTACCAATGTAATTTTTTATCGTTACATGTAGTGTGTTTTCTATTTCACATACTATTATTAAAAACTATTATGTGCAGGAAGCAGTTGAGTATTCCTTTACAAACATTCCCTATTAAACAGAGAAACTGCTCAGGCCTGCATAGTGACCTCTTGTGGTGACATTGAGGCTATGCTAAAATATCCCAGGTTCAAGGTGTGGCTGGTTAGCATGGTCTGGTTAGCTGCACTTTCAAAAGCAATGCAAATCGCAGTTTGATTGCTAAGGTTTTTTTGTTGTTGTTGAGGTCCATTTCTGGTTGATATGCACCATACAAGACCAGTGTTAATAGTAACTAAAACTGTTAAAATAGTTTGTATTAGCTGAAATGAATATAAAATAAATTTTACACATTAGATGAAAGCAATTAAAATGGTGACTGGAAACTAACTTGAAATACGTTAAAGTTGAGGTACTAAAATTACTGAAACTGTAAAAAAATAAAGCTAATTAGAAATATCTAACAAAAAAACTACTAAAATATCGCTAAAATAGCTGTATAATAATCCTGGCATTGTATATTATGAATATTATTTGCTCTCTGATGAATTGCTTTGTTCCTCTATTGTAAAGTGCTTTGGATAAAAGCTTCTGCTAAATGCAGAAATGTAAATGCATAAACGTAATCATCCACTTTAGGATTGAGTTTCAGTTTTGAGTAGATTATAAAGTAGTGTCTGTCCCACACACATGCTGGAATGCATAGCTAAACTTTGATGGCTCTGTTTACATATGGTTTAAACAAATCATCTTCTGACCCTGTTCACAAGGTGGTTTGTTTTAACCACATGTCAAATTAATGTACGGAAAAGCCATCGCGATAACATTAAACAAGAAATGAGGGAAATACATTTTGTTTGGAAGAGACCTTTCACTAAGCAATGGTCATGGACTCCAAAACAGACTTGCTGCAAACTTCAAAATACTACATAATGTTCAGTTTCATGTATTTTATTCATTTATTTATTTATTTTTGCATAAAAAAAACAGGTGACAGGTCTTAGTCAAGACGGTTATATGGGATCTGCAAGGGAAGCGTTTGTGGTTTAGGTGACAGTCTTGATGCACAGTCTCCTGGGCGTAGTGCAGTTTTTGCATTCACCACACCTTTGCCAGTCCATAACAGACACTCTCAACACTCTAACATGCAGACCACAAGCAAGTTTTAAATGCACAGGACGTTTTCAGAGAGAACTGTGCAATACTAATAATAAATATTGAAAGTGACAGTTGAAGGCAGGATTGAGTTTCAGTTTTGAGTAGCTTATAAAGTAGTGTCTGTCCCACACACATGCTGGAATGCATAGCTAAACTTTGATGGCTCTGTTTACATATGGTTTAAACAAATCATCTTCTGACCTTGTTCACAAGGTGGTTTGTTTTAACCACATGTCAAATTAATGTACGGAAAAGCCATCGCGATAACATTAAACAAGAAATGAGGGAAATACATTTTGTTTGGAAGAGACCTTTCACTAAGCAATGGTCATGGACTCCAAAACAGACTTGCTGCAAACTTCAAAATACTACATAATGTTCCGTTTCATGTATTTTATTCATGTATTTATTCATTTTTGCATAAAAAAAACAGGTGACAGGTCTTAGTCAAGACGGTTATATGGGATCTGCAAGGGAAGCGTTTGTGGTTTAGGTGACAGTCTTGATGCACAGTCTCCTGGGCGTAGTGCAGTTTTTGCATTCACCACACCTTTGCCAGTCCATAACAGACACTCTCAACACTCTAACATGCAGACCACAAGCAAGTTTTAAATGCACAGGACGTTTTCAGAGAGAACTGTGCAATACTAATAATAAATATTGAAAGTGACAGTTGAAGGCTTCTAGTTAGCTATAATACAGAACAGATATAACAATGGTTTGCATGTATAGCCTAATATAAAGTCTTAAACTTAGACTAGATGCACCTGAATATTAGGCTTTTTGTGAGCTCTTCAATGAACTATCCTTTTTTTTTTTTTTTTTGAAACCATGACATTTTATCATGAGACCTCTAATAGAATTAAACTGATTGTCAAAATTGATCAATTATTTTGACAATGGATGAATTGCATCTTTGATTTAGATGTAAAGCACATGATAGGATTGTTCTGTTTTGTTTTTTCAATGCGCAACCCATAAGGAATCGCTTATATCATGTTTCCATGACTCAAAACAAGGAGCCAATTAGAGACTTCAAAACGGCACACAGTATTCCGCCATGTGCTTGCGGTATATCAAAGGAGCTTCCTCACTAAAGAGACTGGCCTTCTGGGAAAAATGTGGAAGCTTGACATGATTTTGGGTTCTGTCCTTAGGGTTATGAAGTCATTTAAACTCATGCACGGCCTTTCATTCAATAGATCCTGATGGTGATTTTTGAACTTTTTGAAAATCAAGTGACAACAGCCATACCAAATTTGTAATTTGGATTATTCAGAGGGCAAAAGATGAGAACATTTTTGACAAATAATGGAAACATTTCTTTCTAAACAAAGAAATGTTAGTGTTGTTTTCAGTTATTCATTGTTTTCAGTACTATTAAAGGGATTGATGGTAACACTTTACTTGAAGGGGTGTGCATAAGACTGACATGACACCTTCATAATCATGACATGACACATGTCATGAATATGAAGGAGGTTTTATGCATGTTTATGACAACTGTCATTAAGTGTCATTCACTCAGTTATGTCATTTTTAATGCAAATATGACATTATTTGACCTAACCCTACCCCTACCCTTACCCCTAACCATAGCCCATAGCAAAGACATCTCAAACAATGTCATCTTTGCATTAAAAATTACATAACTGAGTGAAGGTGAAGGTGTCATGAAGGTGTCATGTCAGTCTTATGCACACCCCTTCAAGTAAAGTGTAACCGGATTGTTCATATAAAAATTACAATTCTGTCATCATTTACACACCCTCATGTTCCAAACCTATATGACTTTTTTTCTTCTGTGGAACACAAAAGAAGATATTTTTTGTGGTTTTTGTCCATACAGTGAACGTCAACGGGAACCAAAAATCTAAATTTTATGTGGTCACTGTTAACAATAAGGGGGAGCTTTCATCTTTAAATTTCAGAGTTCATTATTTATTTAATTGCATATTTAATTACAGTACAATGCATATTGAGTCAGGCAGAACAAAAATAGTCAGTTTTACATTTTAACACCAATGAGGATGGGGTTTCCATAAATAGCACAGAAGTTGCATAGACTCCCATCTCCAATACTCCAAAACTGTATCATTCAGTTAACATAACCAGCACATGGGCTCCTGATGTCAGATGGAGCCTTGGCCATCCCCCACACTGCTTTCAGCCCTGCATGGCACTGAGGCTTGAAACTGGAACCACCTGGAACACAATGGCATGGCCTGAAGTCTGTTTTCCTCACATGATGGCACTCACCAAATGTGCATATTTCACAGCGTGCTTCTTTCTGGAGGCAAAAGATGTTTTTTGATGTATGTGTGATCTTTGTTAATTTATATGGAACAGCAACTCAGCTGCTGTAGTGTGCTGAAATACAGGAAGATTTTCCTTTACTGAATGAAGAGATTAAATTAATTAACTCCATTTGTGCGCATGCAACACTATATTTAAAAGAAACTTGAAATGACTTTTTGTACACTACTGTACAGTTAAGGGTTGTGTTTAAAAGAAGTCTACGATGCTCATCATCACTACATTTATTAGATCAAATGTTTTTTGTTTTTTTTA